AATTCAAGATATTAAGTTGAAAATTCAAGATATTTAGTTGAAAATTCAAGATATTAAGTTGAAAATTTAAGATAATAAGTTGAAAATTCAAGATATTTAGTTGAAAATTCAAGATATTAAGTTGAAAATTCAAGATATTAAGTTGAAAAATTCAAGATATTAAGTTGAAAATTCAAGATATTTAGTTGAAAATTCAAGATATTAAGTTGAAAATTTAGTTGAAAATTCAAGATATTAAGTTGAAAATTCAAGATATTAAATTGAAAATTCAAGATATTTAGTTGAAAATTCAAGATATTAAGTTGAAAATTCAAGATATGAAGTTGAAAATTCAAGATATTAAGTTGAAAATTCAAGATATTTAGTTGAAAATTCAGCCTGACCACTGTCCATGTGTCTGGAATATTGCTGAAACATTCCAACCACCCTTTATGGGGTAAAGCTTCCCTAACCAAAGCAGAACCCTCTTGCTGACATTTGTTTCCAAATATTACATCATTACAACATGTCCATCTCATTGATAGACAGCCTTGTATAGAGAACAGGCTCCAACTGAAATCAGACTTGTGTAGAGGTAGGGATTTGCATTAATTGTGTTTGACAAATACAAAGTTCTGCATTGACTTCCACTTGGGAGGTATATTGATTCTTACAAAGTTCATCCATTGAATGAAGGAAATAAATATCACATGTATCATGTGCCCAAGTATTGAATCAATACTGACATGAGTGAGTGAGTGAGTTTAGTCTTACGCCACACTCAGCAATATTCCAGCTATATGGCGGCAGTCTGTAAATAATCGAGTCTGGACCATGAGCATTGATCTACACAACCGAGCCAGCGAGCCTGACCACCCGATCCCGTTAGTCGCCTCTTACGACAAGCATGGGTTACTGAAGGTTCATTCTAACCCGGACCTTCACGGGTGAGTGAGTGAGTTTAGTCTTACGCCGCACTCAGCAATATTCCAGCTATATGGCGGCAGTCTGTAAATAATCGAGTCTGGACCATGAGCATCGATCAACACAACCGAGCCAGCAAGCCTGACCACCCGATCCCATTAGTCGCCTCTTACGACAAGCATGGGTTACTGAAGGTTCATTCTAACCCGGACCTTCACAGGTGAGTGAGTGAGTTTAGTCTTACGCAGCACTCACCAATATTCCAGCTATATGGCGGCAGTCTGTAAATAATCGAGTCTGAACCATGAGCATCGATCTACACAACCGAGCCAGCGAGCCTGACTACCCGATCCCGTAAGTCGCCTCTTACGACAAGCATGGGTTACTGAAGGTTCATTCTAACCCGGACCTTCACGAGTGAGTGAGTGAGTTTAGTTTTACGCCACTTTTGGCAATATTCCAGCAATATCACGGCAAGGGACACCAGAAATGGGCTTCACACATTGTACCCATGTGGAGAATCGAACCCAGGACTTCGGCATGATGAGTGAACCCTTTAACCACTAGGCTACCCCACTGCCCCACTCTATGAAAGAGTTCTTACTACAGGCTACAGCATGTGCAAACTACAGGCTACAGCATGTGCAAACTATACATGTAACTCTCACATCACAACATCAAACCAACATGGCACCGATAACAGTGAAGCACTAAAAGACACTGCACTTAACAACCTTTCAACGTTGATGCCTTGAAACTCTGGAGAGTTTCACACATTTGAAGATCATGGCAGCAGCTGTATGAACACCTGCTCAAAAACTACCTCGTTAAATTGAATTCAAAATGTAAAGTGGGGTCTCCCTTGCACTCCACACTGAGCTTTTTCTGGAATAATGTCACATATCCACTGCAGAACAATGTAACAAGACCTAGCATTCAACAACATTACAGGGAAATCCTGTTGAACTCAATTATCTGTGTATCACTGGAGACAAGGCCACTTTATCGTCTCAGCACAATCATTACAACCATAACTCTTCGTACAACAGACCCCTGTCAGTCTAAAACCTGTATAATCTGGAAGGACCTGGTTTTGAAATATATATACATACGGAACATTTATTCTACATTGCCAGACCTTTCTCATCGCTGTCTTCTTTTATTTTTTTGTTATTGATTTATTTTGTATTTATTTTTATTTATTTTTGATTTTTTTTTTCTTCTTCTTCTTTTTAATTTTTTATATTTATTTATTTATTTATTTTAAATTATTCTATTTTTTTTTTTTTTTTTTTTAATTTTTTTTTTTTTTGGGGAGGGGGTTAATACATTTTGTTTGTCAAACATTTGTTCATCAGCAGAGATTTGTTTATGTAGGATGGATCGTACACCAGAATGCCAATGCCAGTGTAGGGATTTGCAAACAGTAGTTTCATGGATCAAAATTAGTAGTTTGACCATAAAATTAGTAGTCTACAAAATACTTAAAATAATGATGTATTATGAGAAAGATAATATGACACTAATCAAGAGTGAAGCTTTAATTTCAGATACCTCAAACAGCAGTTTTCCAATATCATCATTACATTTCCTCTTGTCTCTTTTTGGCAAAAAAGTATTTAATTGACGAAAATATATGTTTTGTATATCCAAATTTTAATGAATATTCTTCAAATGTCTGGTGCTATCGTATTGGCATAGTTTGAGGCTAAAGTTTGTAGCGACTATGATAAAATCGTAGGGGTTGGCATCTCTGCATACATGATTCTTTTAATCATCAGGGGCATTGGGGTAGCCTAGTGGTTAAAGCATTCAATCGTCACACCAAAGACCCGGGTTCGATTCCCCACATGGGTACAATGTCTAAAGCCCATTTCTGGTGTCCCCAGTGTGATGCTGCTGGAATATTGCTAAAAGCGGAGTAAAACTAAACTCACACATTTTAATTATCATGAAATTTGATTTGGATGAGAAGGTGACAAAGAAAATCTGGGCCTACTGTGTCCTTATAAAAATAAAAATATAAAGAGAATCTGTTTTAGTGATATAAATCCCTCAGATTATTCATATTGTCAAACTATCTTTACGGTCCGCAGGATTAAAACATTTCATCATATTTTCTCTCCCTGACTTTTCAATTCTGATTTTTGTAAATTTATCTAAATTCGTTATTTTTGGATCTGTAAATAGAAACAGATCTGTAAAAGGAAGCGAAATAAAATGCAAGCCCTCACCATGACAAACATGACTACTTGCTCAGACCATATGTAAATCTGGTTGACGACAGCCAATTGTTTGACAGTTTTAAGTCGTCAGAACAAAGTCAGTTAGAGTGCAAGTCCAACCTTGAAGCATGCCTCTCGAGCACAAGATCCTGGATGTCTGCTAACAAGCTGAAACTTAACGACTATAAAACAGAAACAATGGTCATCTCCACAATCTCAAGACAACGAAACCTTATCATCAAAGATATCTCCATTGGGCAATCTTCGATTCCTTTTTCTCCTCTTGTGAAAAACCTTGGCGTTCTTTTGGACTCAAACCTCAGCATGGACAAGCAAATAAATCATCTAGTAAAGACCTGCCACTACCATCTGAAGAACATCGGCAGCATCCGCAGAAAGTCCTAACAAAAGAAGCCACTGCCACCCTTGTGCGGACACTGATTTTATCCCGCCTGGATTACTGCAACAGTTTACTGTTTGGCATCTCTTCCTCTCAACTCCATCGCCTTCAGAAAATCCAGAACAAAGCTGCACGCATCATCACTCTCACCAGTCCTCGCTGTCACATCTCTCCCATCCTAAACTCTCTACACTGGCTCAGATTCGCGAAAGGATTGATTTCAAGATTCTCTGCCTCACCTACCAGTCTTTCTACAACTCAGGACCTTCCTACCTTCAAGACCTTCTGACACATTACTCTCCAGAAAGAACCCTGCGCCATCACAACAACTGTTACTTGCTGTCCCGAGCTACAGTCTCAAATCATTTGGCTCAAGGACCTTTTCATATGCAGCAGCTTCTCTGTGGAACTCTCTCCCTATCGAGTTAAAATCATCTCCTTCCCTAAGTACATTCAAAACACGACTAAAGACTCATCTATTTCTTCGCTACAAGTGACTTCCAATCATCCGTACCTGCCAACTGTATATAGTTTTAACTTGAGCTCAGGAAGCGCTTTGAGCATATCCCTGTGACGTGGAAAGGCTCTATATAAATGGCCTATTATTATTATTATTATTATAATACCAAGAACAGGTGTTCCTTAAATTGTTTTGAGAAGTATATGTTAACCACTGGGAGGTGATGGGAAACGTGAGCCACCTTTTCACGGCAATCATTACATGTTTTTCAAAGACACAAATCAACACACAAATAAGTTTTGAATTGGCAATTAGAACGCTCTTACTATACTTCATTGTCAGAATGTACATCCAAAACATTATCCCAATATATATATAAATATAAACTAGGATTTTAATGAACGTCAGACTTGTATTTTCCTGTTTACTGGATGTCTCTGGGGTTGTTTTGTTCAAAATAGTTTTTGATGCAAGAAAACAACAAAATTATGAATAATATCTTTGCAGTTTGATCTTATGTTTTATTACAGAAATAACATATTGTAATGTCATATCTTTACACACAGTGAATGTTTAACGACACTGAACCCCCAGACATTGCCTCTTGTAACATTTAAAGACCTTTCCTTTTAAATGTAAGGACTTAAAAGGCCACACTGCACATCACAAGGCCTTTCTAGTATGTGAGACAGTTCATATATATATAGTCACTCTGAAATACCTAGCTGACTTAGCCCTGGATATACTATCAACTGACAATATTTCAAATGACTTTCAAATGACTCAGTTTATACTTTCAAATACATCCATAATACTCATCCAGTCAAACAAATGGCGTAATACATTTATCATCTACAAATTATTTTGTACAAAAAGATCGTCAGGACCCAAGGGATTCTGGGATCTGTCTGACCTTGAACCTCCACCTCTATCAGCTGTCTGGAGTAGAGAATTATCGGTGCTTGAACACAAGGTATCCAACTGACCACACACTACTCCAGAATCTACTCACCTCGGCATCCATGAAATGGCCGACATGTCTGGTGGAATCCAGTGAGTTTAGTTTATCATCTGGCTGTAGAGAAACGGGGAATCTATAGTACCCATACAATGGTCTCACGTAACAGTAGAGCTTGGTGCAGCAGTTACATTGATTGTGCTCTAAGCCTGTCTACATCACCACGAGAATGACCACATCGCTCGGTGCATCCAAGTTGGCTTTACTCTTCCATCCACACCATACTCAGAGCATAATGAGGAAAAGCTTCCCAGTTCAACGTTAGTCAAACTCTTGTGCTTCTTCCATGTTGTTTATCTGCTTTATTTTACTTCCTTATGGGACGTCTGTTCGGAATACACCTCCTGGTACACATCTACACTTCAGCCTCAAACAGGAATTATTTCCAATTCAGACTCTGACAAGTGTCAAAGTGTTATGTGTGGCAGTGGTTTTTTTATTTGAGTTAATTCATTCATATTTTGCTTCCATAATAAACAGTCTTGTTTGAGACACCATCTGTCTGTTTACAACTGCACGTTCTTCTAGCATGTTACACAGGACTCAAGATTCCTGCTTTCCTTTTCCTTATCACATGGATTGGATTAGCATTGTATTATCATCACAGTAATTATCATCAGATTCCACACAGTTTCACATTCAGTAGTTTCTACTTCCCCTCGACCCTCCACAAACACAACCCTCTCAGTCACACAGTTTCCATGATACAAAAACATTATCAGTTCCTATTCATATTTCAGAGCAGAACGCATGTATACCTTATTAAATCTAAATCTTTCCGATCACTCTCATAAAATCCATTGGTTTTGTCAATCCCACAGACAGACGGCATACAGACAGTTCATACCGGAAAGCTCCGTATTCACCACATCAGCAGACGTTAGTACAGTTGGGGGATATTATAGAATTGGCCGACATGAGGAGCTAGGTAAAGGTATAAATACACATAGCGTCAACAAAGCATCGCTGATGTACATCAGTGTAACGGTGTTTCGGTACGGAAATTGTGCAGGGCATCCTTCCTCGTTGACATCATCAGTATCAGGGATGACAGTGCTTGACCAAGGCTTTCACCGTGGCCTTGAAACACTCTTAGTAAACAACTCTTACCTCATTCAAAATTTGATTATAATAAGTTCTCATTTGTTAATTCAAATTTGGTTAAAATAATATTTTTTTAAATGAATTATAAGTAATAATAAAAACTATAGGAGCTGTGTCTTCTCTATATCTCTTTCTTGGTCCTGTGGCAAGTGAAACACAAGTCTCAGTGTCGTTACTTTAGTTGTAGTGCTAACATGAACTGGCAGCTTGTACTAACACTTGCTGCATACAGTGGGTGAAATATATGCTACTAAGAATGGAGTATAAACACTTCAGAAATTAAAAAAATAAAATTAATCAAGTAAAATTACAAAGATCACCTAAACAAATATAGATTATCCTTAACTTCTTCATTACAAATGATTCTTAATATATATCTTGTATTTGTAATTTTGTAATTCTATTTAATAAAAAAGTTTTGCCACACATGTAGGTTATTTTAATAAATTTTGTAATTGGCACAACTGTGAAAGGGTTAAAAGTAGGTAGAGTTATATCTTTTCAGACATTTTGATTAATATTAACAATATAATTGTCTTGAATCATTATTTCTGGGATATGTGTATTATCAGATATGAATAAAGAAGGTGCAACCAGTACCTTACAGTCTATGTCAGCATTTAGCTCCTCTTTAGAAAATGGTTTTGATTTTAAACCAATTTTAGAACAATTTCTAAATTATACTTCTAATAATTCATAATATCTCATATCATCCTGACACTTGAATGTGGTATTAACCATCATAACTACCGACATTATAGCTACAAAGTAAATACATCCCACGTGCCAGTGTACCGTATAAGGGAGTGCATATATGTGAAACAGGTCATGATTTCAGGCTGTGTTGCATTTCAGACAACCCAAATTACAGAGGAGTCTAATAATGGATCCATTAGTGAGGTCACACTGACCTCGTTGCCACGCATGTCCCCCATACAGATTATCATCATACTATTCCGTGTAGTTCTTCCATTAGGTTAAATCAGAAACCTTTTGAAATTCTGAAAAAATCTGAATGTGAATGGGTTATCGTGTATTTCTTCAACTGTAATCACATATAAAAACTTACTTTTTGAAGCCAAAGCCATTTCTGGTTTCCATGGTTACAAGGAAACAAATTCCTATTCTTTCTGGCTAGTCAGCACTTTTGTGGATGAGGGTGTAGAGGAGAGGCCTTGTGTGTGACTAAATATTGATATGCTTGTAATTCTGTGGACGGCTTTTATAGTGCCAGGCATTGTTAATGAAAATATGTTATTTCAGTAGAGAATACATGGTGTGAATAAACACGGCAAGTATTCATATTATCCATACAGTCAATGTTGGACAGGGAAGGACCTTTCATCAGGAATCCCATCAAAGGTCACCATGACCTATTGGTCAGGAAAAAAACTGACAGATTGCATTTATAACAGGTATGATTCTTATGTCTATCTCAAGTGAGTGAGTGATGGAGAGTGAGTGAGAAGTTGGTTGAGTGAGTGAGTATGTTGGTGCCAGGGTGGTTGTGCGTGGTTGCCTCAGTGAGTGAGTGAATGAGTATGACAATGGATGGCAGGGTCAATGGGTGGCAGTGTGGGTGAGTGTTTGGAAGAATAAATGAGTGAGTTGGCAAAGGAATGAGCAAGTGAGTGTCCGGGTGAGTGAGTGAGTGAGTGTGTTGGTGGTAGTATGAACAAGTTACATTACAGTGGGTGGCAGGGTGAGTGAGTGAATTAGTGGTAGAGTGAGTGATTTGGTAGTAGCGAAAGTGGGTAAAGGGATGTGGTGGGGTGGAGTTATGGTGGGAGTGAGGAGTGTTTAAGTCAGTATGGGGTAGTGTTAGTGAAAATACACATTGTATATTGTATGTTATGAATAGAATATATGAGAATACATTCCTTACAATACACTTAAATAACACACTAATTACAGGGAAATTATCAGCATTAAATTATTTCAACAATAAAATATTGTTGCCAAGCTTTAAACATCCCAACTCTTGGCGTGGTCATAAAGGCAGAACAACCAATCAGTGAAGAGTTCTCCTTAGTCCTCAATCTAGTCTGGCCCCATCACCAAACGTCTCAAGTCAAGTGCTTGGTAATAGTAAATCTCTCACTATGCAACTAAGTGTCATTATGGATGGATTTCCTGATTAGGAATGATTTTGTAATCTAGATTTTGATCGAAACTGGACTAAAATACCTTCTAGGCTTCGCTCTCTCCAATACTCATATGCCATATCGTCTAGACCATTATTTTTCCCCAAAATGCTTTCATATGTATGCAGTCATTTTCTCCCTGAATGAATATGATTTACCGCCATTTCCGCGGGACAGCAAAACTAATAGACATGCTGCATGCATCCCCAACAAAACTGGAACAGGCGGTACAGAGATCAATCATTTCTTCACATACATATATATTACAAAGCTCCAAATAGTGAACCTCATGTTGGGAAGGTATAATCTAGTTGTGGTGGATAATTTCTCCAGCATTTTACAAGACGCAACAACAGAATGAAGACATTGATGGGTCTGACTTATGACAGTCTCCAGCTGAAGTAGAAACGTTTCCGTTTCAGCATCACGAGGAAGAAAGTTCACCCACACCTGAGAATTGTCTAGGTGTTCTGGCAGCAAACACTGGTTCAGTAAAGATGTTATTTATCATTGCTTGTTCATGCAGTAAGATAGATGGCAGTTTAAACATTTTCACCTTATGTTACTGGCACAGTGTAAATCATTTTACAAGAGTACAGGGTAAATTGGCATATTAAGGGTGAAGACTACAACACAATATTACATAATGAGAGATGCTACAAAAATATGTTGCCATGGATACAGGACTCAGAGTGACCACTCTGGTGCCGATTTCACAGGTGGGGCTTTAATTATGACACATTGTGCCAATCTTGTTTTTATAAGAACCCGATGTACAGAGCTGCTAAACTTCTGTATGCGTCTGGAAGCCATTATCAACCACAAGTGGTTGCTGCTGATAGTTTTAAGTTTTAATCTCATTTCCGGTAATTACACTTCCTTTATAATACAATTACACTTCCTTTATAATACAGAGTAAAATACACGCAGCTTGTATTGTGCTGGAAAGCATTTGGCCACTCAGCCAGAATCAACTTGAATAATTTACTATAAGCATTATCATCATCATCTTCATCATCATCATTGATCATGGACTCATCATTACCCAGCTTTGTGGGTGGGACAGTGGGGTAAGATGTAACTTTTTTCACTTTTATCTTAATTCTTGTCATCATCATCATCATAGACTGATCATTATCCATTTATCACCAACATCACCATTACAATCAACATCATTTTCAACATCACCATCACATCACCAACATCACCACTACAATCAACATCATTTTAAACATCACCAAAATCATCATCAAAAACATCATTTTCACCATCATCATCACCTTCATCATTATCACCATCACGATCATTATCATTACCATCAACATCATAATCACGGGGGCGGTGGGGTAGCCTAGTGGCTAAAGCGTTCGCTCGTCTCGCCGAAGACCCGTGTTCGATTCCCCACATGGGTACCATAAGTGAAGCCCATTTCTGGTGTCCCCCGCCGTGATATTGCTGGAATATTGCTAAAAGCGGGCGTAAAACCAAACTCACTCACTCATAATCACAAATATCATTTTCACCACCACCATCATCATCATTATCATCATCATCATCATCTTGACTCTACTCTCCATCCCATCACAATGCAAGTTTCTGTAACTATGATAACAGCTTACAATAACAATGTAACAAGGATCCTGACTGGGGAAATAGCTGGGGAAATGGCTGGGGAAATGGCTGAGGCCTGGCTCTGATTGACCTCCTTCATAAAGGTCAAATATGGTCGGCTCCAAGTTAGGGATGGGGTCAATGTCAATCAATTAGTGAGTGAGTCTGGCTGTCATGTTTACTTCACAACTAATCTCATTACTCCGTCTTGCACTGACATGACCCTCCTGCCCCGTGGCTAGCCAGTGTAAGAAGTGTTAACATAGCAGGTAGAATGTACAGGTGACGGAGATACTGATTACCAAACAAAGTTGCAGTAAATGATGGCAATTATTCATCATGTTGGAATGGAGAAATAATTCCCTGCACAAAGAAGGATGTTCTTCTCATGGCTACAACACCACAACTCATCAGTACACTTGCATTGCACCCGATATCTCATGCCCATATTTGTTTTGAGGTTCAACAACGTGCATGAACGAGTATGTTTAGGCTGAAAGTTATCAGGTTAACCTGAAATTAGATAATTTGGGTTATGTTACATGGAAATTTGACTATTTTAATTGGCATAAGATGATCAAATTTCCATATATAATAAGTTTTTAATGTGTTCTCTATTTGTAGGATATTTCGGGGACAAAACTATTACATTTTTTTATAACTATTCAAGTCTGGAATCATAACCTATCATTCATGTTAGAATTGAATTTAGGATTTGAAAGATTTTGCATCTATAGACGAAAATCTCCATAAAACAAACAGCTGCAGAGAACACTATGAAATCAGTGTCATTATTCAGCCGAATATTGCAACATAAACCCACCCACTCTGTTATCAAGCACTCAAAAAACTGCAAATAGGCGTGGCCTACATTATTTATGGTTTAAGGAAACATAAACATGGCGGATGAATGAATGAATGGCAATGTATTTGCATAATGTCAACATGGCAACAAGTGTAGAAGTGTTTTCACACTAACATGACACTAGAAGTGGGGTAGAAGACATTCTCAGCACAGATCA